TCCTAGGCTGGTCTGGCCCTGCCCGGGTGGGCCCAGCCCCTCCCCCGGGGTCCTGGGGTGTCCTTCCTCCTGGCTAAGCACCTTACCCCTTGCTTGGGAGGACGAGGGGGCTCCAGCCAACCACTGTGCAGACCGAAATGGGCCTGAGGTGGTGTCCTGGCCCCAAGTCAGGAAGTCGAGGGCCTGGTCTCAGGGCTTTCCAAACCCTCTTTGCTCCATTAACTGGAAAGGTACCTGGCAGAGGGCGGGCAGTGGACAGGTCTGCCCTTCCCAGGAGCTCGGGGGTCGGTGGGGAGAACAAGCAGGCGGGCTTCCTTCGGGGGAGCTGGGCTTACACAGAAAGCTGCCCCCACCCCTGCCTGACACACACACATGCGTGTGCACACGCCCGGCCTCCGCAGCCAGCTTGCCCGCACAGCAGTTCTGGGAAAAGAGCCGGGAGTTAACCCAGCTCACAGGTGGGCAAGTTGAGGTCCCAGATTCCCACCTGTGCAGTTAGTGGCAGGAGCTACGGGGGGCTGACTCCAGTGACTGGACCCTGCCGCTGTCCCACCGCCCTCTGGTCGTGTAAAATCCCTGCCCGGGACCCCAGACCCTGCTTGGGCTCTGACCTAGGCCTGGTCCTTCCGACCACCTGTGGCCACGGAGGTCACCCTGGAGGTCGGTGGGGAGGAGGTGCTCACCCCTCCTGGCACTATACTTCTCCCCCAACCCCATTCGGTGGGCAGAGCTGGGACAGCTCATCCCCACCGGGCCCTCCAACTGGCTCAGGCCGGCCTCCCCTCCCCACCTGGCCGGGCCTAGGACCGGGAGAGGCACAGCTCAAGGCCTGCCCGATCACCCCCTTCTGGCTGGGAGTGTGGAGCCGCCCCCCTGGCTTTCAGACCGGAGCTCCAGCGGGATCTGGGCAGATTCTTGTCATAATGGGAGCCCCCACCCCAAGGACAGCACTGCCCGAGCCGAGGGGGCCCTGGGTGTGGACAGACTTCCCCACCTGCACGTCCAGGTCCTGGGGGGACAGATGGGCCCTGAGGGAGGCGGGGGTTGGTGGGACATCCCAGAAGAGCCCCCAGACCCACTAGCCAGACGGAGCCCACTAGCCAGCAAAGGAGTGGGGACAGGGGTCAGGAGCCACTGGCCTCGCTCACCAAGCTCCAGGCGGACAGTCCGGCCAAGGCCACAGACGAGCACGGGTGATCAGGAAGGGGGGGGGGGCGGACACGACCCCGGGACCCGGCCCAGGTGACTACGCGCAGGGAGCCGGTCCTGGCCGGTGGCACTCTGGGGATGTTGCAGGGACTGCCCTGGCCTTCCCCGAGGCGCAGGCTCCCATGGAAATCCAGGAGCTAAAGAAATACTTTCTTTAATGTCTGTGAAAACCTCAGTCAGGATTTCAGCACTGGCACCAGAGTCCGCTCCCTCAGGCGGGACCTCCTCTCAGAGAGTGGGGCCCTCGGTCCCACGTGGGGGGCAGGAGAGGCGAGGGAGGAGCCGGGCCACGTCCTGCGTCCGGTCATGTGCCCTGCGTGGCGGTGCGGTGGGTGCAGGACGTGTGGGAGACGTGGGGCCAAGCTGGCATGGCCCTGACAGCTTGGGGGAGGGTGGCCCCCGGGGGGGGACGGCGCATGCGAGCTTCCCACCGGATGTGTCTGCAGCCGGCACTGCAGCCCCCAGCGCCTCGGGAGACCCGCGGGCTGTCAGGCTCCTGGGGGCCGGTGGATCTGCGCCCCTCGAATCGCCGGGCAGAGCGGGCTACACGTCTGTCTCCACGCGCAGGCGCTCCATTCTGCGCACGTTGCCCTCCACGGCCACGCGGCTGGTGATGCATCGGGCGAAGTCCTCGGGGAACCAGCCCGTCTCCCCATCTCTCAGCCTCTCGCCGTAGAACCATCCTGAACACAGATGTGGGGCGGGTGAGGGCGGGGTCCGGGCACGAGGGCGGGGCTGCGATGCCCTCTGCGCCGCTGTTCCAGAAGGCACCAGGCCGAGGCCCCTCCCTTACAGCGGATCACCACCGGCTCCTGCCAAGGGGGCCCGGTTCCGGGTCACACGGGCACCTGGTCCTCCATCGGCAGCTCGGCCCGGATGCCGGCGCATGCCCCGTGCGGGCGTGTGCAGGGGCCCCCGGAGTAGCACAGTCACCCTCCGCCCACTTATGACACAGAGTGACAAAGGACCTGATTCTGATCCCGTGACTCAGGGACATTTGAGGACACCCCTGAGGGAGGGTGCCGAGGGGGCCTTGGAGCACCGTGAGCAGTGGCAGAAACCGTGTCCAGGGGGCCAGGGTCAGGGTGCACCGCCCACACGGGTGTGCCCTGGGCCCTGACGGGGCTGGCGGCCTGTCGCCCGGGGCCTCCCCACCAGCGCCGTTCCACTCACCGTCTTCCTGCTCCAGAACCAGGACCACATCCGCCTGCTGCAGGGTGATCTCGTCCGCCTGCTTGGCCAGATAGGCCTTGGTGACCTCCACCTGGGGCAGGTCTGCGGGGGCAGGTGGGGTGGGGGTCAGGGGCAGAGCTGTCCCCGGGAGGACGTGGGCTCCACCTCCCAGCACATCCCCCGTGGCCTGGTCTCAGCGGGGCCTGGGCTGGGCACACGGGCTGGGGACACGTGGCAGCCTCCCCCGGAGGCCACGGGACAGGCTGCCCCTGCCCGGCAGAGGGGGCAGGTGGCTCCTAAGGGGCGGGGCTGGAGCCAGGCTGACGATCTATGGGCCGGCCCGGCTCCGCGTGCTCCAGGTACGGGGCACGGTCCTCTCCCCCGCACGGACGAGGCGGCCCTGGGACAGAGCTGGGTCTGTGCGCACAGACGGATACACACGTACCCTGGCAGGTCACCCTGGGGGCAGACAGTGGCACGGACGGAGGGCTGGACGATACCTCTCAGCTCCGTGCCGCCCCCTTGCCCAGGGCCGGGGAAGGGGTCGCGAGCCCTGTTCTCGGTGCGCTCACCTCCTTTGTTGGCGGGACTCTGCCTCTCCTTGTGTGTGAGCGCCACGATCCAGCGGGCCCGGTCACTCCTGGGGCAGGACAGAGCGTGGGTGAGGCCCTGAGGCCAATCCCGCCAGCCTGGGGACCTCTGGTTTCACACGGCCCACCCCCAGTGTGGTGCTGTGCAGGGACAGGGGGTCAAAGGGCCTCCCCGGGGTTCCTCAGGCGTCCCCCACGGCCCTGGAGCTGTGACCCGCAGTGATGATGAAGTTCACGGGACACTGGCATCCTTTCATGACCCCCCACAAACCAGTTCCCTCAGGGGCCGGGTGTGGAAAGTCACAGGCAAGAGGGGCAGCAGGCAGGCTTTACCGAGTCAGGCCGACCCCGAGTCTCATCTGCCCAGGGTCACAGTCAGGCAGCAGCTGCACCCCTACGACCCGGGCGCTGGGTCCCAAGCCCACCGTCCCTCCCTCCCCTGCCCGCTGAGCCCCCTCCCTGTGCTGCCCAACGCCCCCCAGCCTGTTCTGACCTCATCACCCCCACCACTGGCGCCCATGCTCGAGCGCCACTAGCCTCACGGCTGCTTCTTGGCAGAGGCCTCCTGCCCCAGGACCTTTGTACTGTGGTGCCTCTGCCAGGCCCTCCTCCCCGGGCCACGCCGTGCTGGTCAGGCTGTCCCCCTCCTGGCATTCCCTTTCCCTCCGTGGTCAGGTCCCCGCCCCGCCCCGCCCCAGGACCTCCCCCCGACTCACGCGGAGTCGGACGACAGCAGGATCTTCTCCTGGCGGCCCTCGCTGTTGTGCAGCAGGGTCACCTGGAAGGGGTGCGGCACGGAGGAGCCGCGGCTGCCGCCGCCCCCCAGCAGGGAGGGGTCGGAGGCCTCCGTCTTCTGGACCCGGATGTGGTCCACTTGGGCGTAGTCCTGCACCACGAAGCTGTCCTCGCTGCAGGGAGACAAGGAGGCAGCCAGATGCCTCCGAGGGTGTGTGGGCGGCCCGGGTCCCCCGCCCGACGGGGGCCAGAAGGACGCTCCTGAGGGCTGCCCCCCTCCCCCACCCCCTGGGGAGCACAGGCGGTGCGCTTTCTCGTCCCCGTGGCCTGGGCGGGCAGACCCGGGTCTGCAGGCACAGGGAGAGACCTGGCCGCCCCGCGTCACATGCAGGGGGACCCAGGCCGCTGCCGGGGCCGGGCCAGGCTGGGAGGGGCCCCCCACCGTGTGCCCCAGCTCTGAGGTCTGAGGAGGCCCGGGTGACTCCCCCAGGCCCCTCCCGGTCCCCGTCTTGGGGCCACATGGCCCGGCACCCACAGCGGCCTACCTCTTCTTCTTGGTGACCACCAGGACGTCGTTGAACAGAAACAGGTAGCACGTGGGCCGGCTGGCCAGTTTTCGGAAAAGCCCGGTTTCCTCCACCACAGAGAGCTCCCCACGCTTCAGCAGCCAGCGGGAGGCAGAGATCAGCGGGAGGGACTGGAGGGAAGGGACGGGGAGGTGCCTGAGTCGGGGCGGTCGGGGGGCGGGGTGTGGGCGAGGATGTACCGAGGCCGGGTGGGCACCGATCCCTGCCTCCAAGGACTAGGTGACTGCCCCCTCCCCCCGGGCTGGACCGAGGAGGAGGACAGTGAGATGTGTCCTCGCCTCACACAAAGGGCTATTCAGTTGGCCGACAGGCACAGATGGGGCAGCTGCGCTGTGCCAGGTCCCTGGCCCAGATCCTGCTCGGCCACCCAGGCAGGTGGGTGCCCTCCCTGCCTCCGGCCGGGCCCAGGGACTCTCCAGGCACCTACTGAGCACCCCCTGAGCCAGAGAGGCCCTCACACCCTCGTCTGGACCTCCGTGGCCTCCCTCTGTCACTCCGTGGCCCTCGTGCCCTGCCCACAGCACCTGCTCCAGCCCGCTGGGCAGCCTCTGCTGGCTGATGACAAGTTGAGGCCTGGCCCACAGAGCTGCCTCCAGGCCCTGACTCCTGTAGAGC